CTTTGTAACGGATTAGGTTTCTGTTGTATCAGCCAGCTCAACAAATTCACACTATGACTGCTACAGAGAAAAAATAGCACTGATAGAATGAGCCCAAGGAAAGCAAGTGCAAGACTATTCTCTTCAGCAGTAGCCAGACACTGAATTAACACCATCAAAATATATTATCATCAGCTTACATAATCCTGTACTCTTGTCATGTAATACAAACAGAAAGGGTTCCCAATTCACCCTGTTCTAGCCTGTTTTTTTCCTTTAATAACTTCTCTTTCAGTCCCTTAAGTTAATCATCTCCAGCTCTTCATTTTCAATATCTTTTGAAAATCCCTCGAATTCTGTAAAGTCCTTCTGTATGGCCAGTACTACAGATTTGGGGAGAAAAAAAAAAAAGTGTGTTTCTTTTTTTAAAGTGTGTTTCTTTTTTTAAAGCAGTCTTTATCCTCTCCTTCAGAGTCCTATAATCCTGCTTGATTTCTGCTCAGAATGGAGAAAACATGCCAATGATTAATGACACCACAGCAACAGAGGATCTCAAGTACCTCTGTAAGTATTACAGTACAAATAGAGTACACTCAAACACACACCCCTATAAATGACCTGACAATTATAGTGGAAGAACAGATGGAAGTCTTGTTTCTGTAATAAATTGTGTCAATGTGAAATCTGAACAGAGAGTCAAAAGCCCTGACAGGGAAAAAAACTCCAACTATAAATGCAGACCAAAATAGAAGCCTCAAACTGCAAACTACTGCTATGTCATTAGACAGAAAGAGTCATTAAAGAAACATCTGTGCCTTGGACAATCACTTTTCCATTGCTATATGTGTTGATTACTGGATGGTTGCATACCATGTACCAAAGCAAAAAAAAAAAAAAAAAAAAAAAAGCCCAACAACAACAAAAAAAATTCTTACAACTGCTCCTGAAAACCAATTCTAGTTTTCACATGGTGAAGAATTTTGTTCCCTTCTCTTATAGCAGGATACAAAGCAGGAAAACCTTGTGAGAAGTAAAACTGAGAGATATTTTAAAAAAATCAAAACCAAAAATAAAATATAAAAATAAAACCTGGCTTCCTCCTATGCAGAAACTGCTGGATGTCTGCCACTAGCTGAACAGAATTTACTTTTTTCTTGCTTTTATAATGTTTCTTGAAGAACAGCTCAGAATGTAATTATGCAGAATTAAAATTAGCTACAACTGAAACTCAGTTTCTACCTATGAACGTTGATCATCACCACACTGTCAATGTGATCTTTGGTTTTAACATGAGCCTTTGTTGTAGCAATTCTTCAATAAATTCTTTTTAATGGCCAAAATGATTGTTTGTACATTGTTTGGACCCCCAAAACAAGACTGTCAAAGTAGTTTAAAAGCTAATTTAAGAAGTGACAATCAATACCAAATTGTCATTTTAACAACTTCAAGCTGATGTGTAGTATGCTGCTTTTAATTACAACCATAGTTGAAATCAAATGCGCATGTTTGAGAGAAAATATAATCATAAAAAAGAGATAATTAACACAATGGTGTATTTCAGGACAAGCACAATCCTAGAGATTACAAAACTGTCACTGTTGCTAGCTTATTAAAAAACATTAATACTTCAAACTAATAACTGGATTTCAGGGGTTAAATGTGATACAGCAATAATTAATATCTGATTCAATAGAGTAGAATTATAAATTCTATTTAAATCTAAGTAAGATATTTTGAATTAATAACTCATTTTAACAGCTTTCAAAAATGTTATACTCAACTTCAACTAGTGGCTGGTACAGAGCTGGTATTCACTGTTAGTACCCATACAGGCAAAGATAGAAGTATTTATGCTTGTATGTAAAGCTTTCATTTACTTTTCTTGAATAAGCACACTTACTGTGTTTATTCAAGAAAGATGAATAGGTTGCGCTTTCTATGATTAAGTTTTACATTCAAAGTGACAGTTACAGTGACATATTTTGTTTTGAAACTTTCCTCTTTTCGAAGCATTTGATTTGTTCTGCATATGTAACAACTTAACTTGCAAATCACTTCTGTAAGCATAGGTTCACTTTGGCCTAAGCCAAAATGGAAACAGAAATTTGGTTAATGAAAACAACTTACAAACACATGAAAATCGTACACCTCTATACACTGGTGCAAGCTCCACTTGCATGTAATCCAGATATGCTCTTTTTTTTTTCCCCTCTCCAAAAGCTTCACTTGTCTTCTAAAACAGTTTCTGGCTGAAATACTATTTGTATTCCTTATATTTAGGATCATAATCTAGTTTGCATTTAAGCTCGCTATTAACCTTCTCAACTTCATGAACAGCTAGCTACATGAGACAACAAACATACATATACAACTTGAAATATCTTTCTTTATTCACGTAATACAGAACTAAGAAAATGAATTTTGAAAGAAAAATTACAAAATCCTCAGACTTGGGTCTTTTGTCAGAGCTTTTAGGAGGAGAAATTAAGAGAGGATTCCTCAGTCTTAATTTGTTCTGGGCAATTACATAAAACTTCTGACACTGAACCAAAGGAGTTTCAAAGCTCCAACTACAGAACCCTCCAGGTTGCTTGTGTTGTTGTTTTTTCCCCCCAGATCTTGGAAAGCAACTTTAAAATAATTAAAATTATAAGCAGTTAAAAATAGTTAATATAGTTAAATATTTTACTCCTGAACATTTTATGCATCTGGTCCTTACTTGCTAGGTAACCTTCCGGATTAAAACAGAAAAGATGCACAACACCTAAAGCCATAAAACAGGGGAGTACACTGAGACCAATACAAGATTGCATTTAGTACATAAACAGACTTTTTGTTTGTTTGTTTGTTTCATATAAAATCGAATGTGAAAGTTAATGGGCATCAGCACTGGAAGAGGAGTATCTTGTTGAGTTTACCTAAAATGCTCATCTTCTCTATCTCAACATCCAAACCAATAGCTAGGCAGTCAAGCAGAGAAAAATACAATACATACATTTTTTGTACGATAAAGTAAAAAATTCTCAGTCTACATTAACTTAAAAATATCCAGATAAGCCATAATATTGTCACTAACTGTTATTTTCATTATTCTAATGCACCAAGTCTGATGTGATTAGTAGCATTTCCACACCTCATGTGTAGCATTAGACTGCTTAAGAGTCTTACACGTCAGTGAATAGTAAGCAATTTGCTGATGAAACATCAATAGAAGAGTCCATTTGCAAAAAAGATTCAATAAACTCTAAACAAACCAATGGCCATTATGTTCAGAAAACATAAAACCAAACAGGTAAAGGGTATACTTACGTCTAGCATATAGTTAACAGGGGTGAAGAGGAAGGAGAGGTAGACTGATGAGCTGGTACAAAACAATGTCTTAAAGTAGAATTTCCTGCAGCACCAAAGGCCCCTTTACATATTTGTTTCCAGTTACACTCAGTTCTTACACTATTCCTGACCCCTATCCCAAAACTGTTTTAACCTTTGGTATTAAATACATGGATCGCTTTGTAAGAAAAACCCTGCAGAGTTTTCAGGGTGGAGAAATCAAAATAAAATAAACCGAAAATGAAGCTACAAGGCATTAAAAGACAACTTAAAAAAGGACACCTATCATAGTTCTGCAGCTTAGCTCTGCAGGGCTGGTGTCACTGGTTTAGGGTATTCTTCTGTTGGGTTGGATGTTTTCTGTAACAGACAGAATCAGGCACTTTATATACTGGGCATGGCCATAATCAATGCAGAAAATAGACTGAAAGAAGGAAAAAAAAAAAAATCCAACTGTGAATCCAGTTAACAGCTCAGTATTTCAGGCTTACAAATAAACTTTAGATTCCAAGGCCAAAATGTGCAGCAGTCCTCCAAGTGTCTCATAATACCAGTTCCTTCACTGTTTTATGACGTTGCTATGTTTTTCCACTGCTTACAGTAAATAAGTGTCGTGGTTTCACCCCACCCAGACAGCTTGTTACCCACTCCCCCCCCTTTCTTGCCCTCCCCCTACTCTCGGAGGGACGGAGAGGAGAATCAGAAAGAATGCAACTCCCACGGGTTGAGATCAGAACAGTTTAGTAACTAAGGTATAACACAAATCACTACTGCTGCCACCAATAATAGTAATGATAAAGAAAATAACAAGGGAAGAGAATACAACACCTCATCACCAGGCGACCGATAACTTGCTCCCCCCAGCCCGACCAAGCATCGACCCATCCCTCCTCCAACCCTGCAGTCCCCTCTAGCCCTTCCGGGTAACTCCCAGTTACATCCAGGGCATAACATGCTGTGGTATGGAATACCTCTTTGGTCAATCTGGGTCAGGTGTCCTGTCTCTGCTTCCTCCCGGCTCCCCTCCTCCCTGGCAGAGCATGAGGCTCACAAAGTCCTTGGCCAAACCAAAACTTCATTTTTATCAGCTCTGTTCCCAGCCCGAAAGCCAAAACACAGCACTGCACCAGCTACCAAGAAGGAGAAAAATGACTGCTGCTGCTAAATCCAGGACAATAAGCAAACCTCTGCTTTCCTTAAGTGTAACAGCAGATTCCAATCAGAATTTACACTTCCTTATATAAACAAAATTGTGTGCAGAACAGCTGCATGAGTGTACATTCATCCACCATTCTACTATTCACATAAAGAACAAAAGGAAAGGTAATGGGAGTTCGAGGTTAATTTTTGCTGTTGAATTAAAAAAAAAAAAAAAAAGCTTGTACTTTTTTCTCTTAGATAATGCTCCCTTCCTATGAATAAAAAGAAATCTGGGAATTTTAATTGGTAAAATCCCCCTCTAATTACTTACTAAACCAATTTTTAACTTCAGGAATTTTTAGTTTGCCTTCTTTTCATATTTCTGAAAATTACCCAGACTTTGCCAAGTTCAAATTACAGAAGCTATGCAATTGGTTCAGCTAAAAACCACTTCAGTGAACAATGCAACAGAGGATTAAAAAAAGCAACACTGATGCCTCACAGTGTAAGGAAATATAAAAATTATTAAATGTAAAGCCAAAGCCACTTACCTTCCAGCCTCTTGAATTCCTAAGATTACTCTAGATAATAGAGCATATGGAGAGATGCTCATGATCTTTAGCGAGGGATGAATCATCTTCATGTAGACACTGTGAATAGCCCCTGTATGCATACTGACATCATCAGTAAAGACTTAGAGGCAGAGGATACTATGGTAACCACGCAAGGTGCTGAGAGAGAGAAGCCTTTAATTGCTTTAACAACTTCCCAAGGCTCCTGCTACTGGGTTTCCATTCTCTCAGAGGGAAATCAAGACTGTCACAGAGCTAATGAGTGTGACACTGTGCAGGAGAAAACCCACTGAAACCATTAATTGTGATGTGGCTTTTTAAATGACAAGTGTCATAGCCTGATTCCATTACCAAAATTTTTTGACATCTGCAAGATCTACCAGGAGTCACAGGTCAAGAAGTAACACTGTCAGGTAGCAAGGTTTTGTAAGCATTTGTTTTCTCCATTTGCTTTCTCTATTTGCATGTCTTGATACTACCACAGTGATGTTATCTTCTTCAAGTCATTGCATAGCTGTAAGCAGAGAGTGTTCTTCTGCACCAGAGGGTCAAAGATTGATCAAAACACAACCTAAAGTCTTAATACTAAGGCTCAGACACAGCATCAGCTGACATACTGTGAAAAAAAGTTATTTATCCTCATATCATAACTCTCTGAACTTCAATACTATCTGCAAATATATTGCCTATAAATGACAAAGCTCAAGTAAATATTACCACCAGTGACATGATATGGCCAACAGATAGCTGGATAAGAAGTTTTGACTAAGCTTTCCAGAAAATTGCAGTATTGTATCTTCATTTTACATACAGACAGCTCAGCTAGGGTTTATGGTTGGTTTGTATCACAAATATGATACAAAATAGACAACAACACTGCAGACACTCCAGTTTTGATTTCTCGAGCCACCAAAGTTCCCTTTAGTGGTCATTTCCCCAGGTAATGATCTGCCTGAGCAGTATGTTTAATTAACAGTCCTTCTTTTACAACTATACAGAAAAGACAGAGTCAATTGGTTTATGTCCTGGGTTTGCAAGTTAGAATCTTGAAATCAATTTTATTTTTGTCTTAAAAGGTCTGATTATTGGGTAATCTTTGACAGTTTCTATTCCTAACCTCCCGCTCCCCACAACTGTTAAGATACTTAAAAAACAAAGCAAAACAAAACCCCAGGCCAACAACGAAAAAAAACAACCCAAACCAACCAAAACCCAAAGGTGGTCCTCAAGGCATCAATACATCAAATTTTGCAACATTAATGCTACAGTGCTTTTATTTATCTCTATGATACTTAGAACTCTAAAAGCTTCATTGGAAAACTCATTCCAAAGTAAAAAAAAAAAAAAGAAAATCTATACCAGTTCATTATACAAATTCTTTAACACCATAGCTGAGACAGTTCTTCATCTGTGAGAAAAGAGCATCGCATACCAGGCTGAACTGTAGAGTCAGCAACCTGACCTGCTTATGAACCACTGTATCGAGCACAAGGGGCTGATTAAAATGAGCACAGTTCTGTTCAGACTGCAGCCTGCCGATGCAGAAATACCCATGTCTTTCTATTTAGAGAGAAATTTTCTATTTCTTTCTAATCCTTCTATGCAGGAGGCTGATGTCAGCTTCTTATCAGCACACAGAGAATCTTGACACATAGTTAAGATTTCCACAATTTGGGGTATCTAGAAGAGCTGCTGTGAAATGGCTCATTAATACATGAAACAATCAAACCCTTGCAAAGAACCTGCGCTTTCCAGTTCGGTTGAAAATTCTGATGTTGAGATAGTAATTAAGAAGACGACTGAACACTAATGGATCAGACACTTCCACAGTAGTTGTCATTCAACATAACAAACCATTCAGACTAAGTTTTGCATCTTTTGGATGTTTTGTTTGGTGTGGTATTTTGAGGTTTTTTCGGTTTTGTTTTTTTTTTTGTTTGTTTGTTTGTTTTTTAAAGCAGACTTTATGGCCCCCTTTTTCAATACTAGTGCAAAATGCTTCACATACTTCACATATATACTGTTTTTCATAGCTAACTTTCTGCATGTACACCTGGTTTCAAAACCATCAACTGGTATTCCCTTCCACCACAATCTCTGCTGCTTTATTCATATAATGATATGCACACTTTAGAGAATAGAAAAGGTAGAGAATAGAAGTAAAAACAGAATTTGAGAATTGTCTTTATGCTCAGCTAAATTCCCTCTTAACTGCAAAAATCTAGAAAACCATAACTAGGTTTTTTTTTTTTTTTGTTGCTTCTTTGTTGAGACACGTATTAGGTCTCCAGAGGACACTAACAGCACACATCTATGTGGACACGTAGATATAGAGTCAAATAGCAGACCAGTAAAAGAGAATTGTAGCCACTCTATTCCTTCCAACTCCACCTTTAGAGATTGACATAACAAGCTAGATAGCCCTTCTTAGGAAGCCCAAAAGCCAAAAGGGCCACAGCAGCATGAACAGAGAAACTTCTTCTAAAGCTAGGGTGTGAAAGATACAAAGATGTTTACCATCTCTAATTAATTCTCAAGAGAATAAATAAATAAATAGACCCCAAACTTAAATAGATCAGCCTGAAGCCAAACACAAAAATTTTATTCTGGAACTGGAACACTAATCTCTTGACTACAGAGTTAAAAATGTAGTTAAAAATGATAAAAATCAAAACGTATCCAATCTTAAATTGCTAGATGACACATACAGCTTTTAAAGTGCCATTTATCCAAAACAGCTTTCCCACAATCTTCCTTCTGCTTTGGGAAGAGGAAGAACAGACACCATCTGGCATGTCAAGCAAATTATATCCATCCCCTCAGAGGACAGAATAATAAATAAATCTAATAAATCCATCACCTCAGACATCTTGATTTAGTAGCTAAATGTCTGTCTCAGTTTTTTTCCAGTTTGAATCTCATATGAAACTACTTCTTTGGGCAAATTTGACAACTTCCTGTTTCATCTCAGGCTAACTCACTTGACTACTTTAAAAACTAAGTAAAAATAAAGCTTAGCTTGTTCATTCCTTTAACAGTAACTTAGTTTCATATGCCAAGTTGATATTGTCAGCCAAGCAGGTTTGCACATAAAATGTGCCTTCTGGAATACCCACAGAAATCCAACCAATTTAGATCAGACACATGTATCAATAAGGGTGAGGGGGGTTAGGAAATGCCAAATGACAACTCTGTATGCTTCTCAGAGTCTTTGTTTGAGTTGCATAAAGGTTTCAAGAGGGTGTCAAGAAAATAATAAACTATCAGCACGCATTAGAATGGAATTGTAAATAACAATGCAAGCACAGCACACATACTTTCTTGAGGTCAAAACATCAAGTACAAAAAAAATAAACATTGGTATGTAGAAAAGCAATCTTGACATCATTCTTGCAGACACATGTAATGGTTTCCTCATATGCCTAAGCTCTTAAAACTATTAGGCTAAGACTCCTTAATCTTTCAAGAATCTCATTTCTACAGAAACAGAAAGAATAAAAGACAGTAGCTCAAGCAATCATGACAACATAGTCTGAATTCCTGCTCTTACAAAGAGACGTTCAAAGCTACTTACTCCCATGCCCTGCACAGATTTCTTTCTCCACCCGCGATTCTGAAAATGAGATCAAGAACACACACACAGAATTCACCAGTTTCCCAGAACATTTTCAGGAACTTTTACCCCAACTTTAACCATGCTGAAATCTAGGCATAAGCCATTTAAGTTGGTAACTGTTAAAACAAGTAGGTACAGGAGAAGCTTTAGAAGAGGTAGCACTTTATAAAGTAATGATCATCTACCACATTTACAGTATTTCTGAAAATAATCAGACGAGCATTTGTCAAAGCAGTAATTGGTAAATTGGTATAACACACAAAAAATATACTATTAGCATGATGGAATATATGTGACAACGAATACCAAACACGATTAGAAAATATTTTTATTAGGAGGTTGTTGTGGTTTGTTTCATGTATGTACACCTCCAACTGAAGGCTTTCCCTAATTTTCTGCAGCAATATGTTGCCAAAACAGAGATACAGTTCTTATCACTACCAACACTAGTGTTAAAACAGAGGCAAAGTACTCTCAAGCAGCAACTCCTTCCACTATAGCATCAGATACTGAATGTGGTCATGTAACAAAGCTACACACATAAATAGTATATCGCTAATACAAGCCAAGCAAAGTATTTTAATCACTTCATGGGGTTCTATTATCAAACCTATGCAAATCTGCCTCTTAACTGGCACCAGTCCTGCTTCAACTACATTATGGACTGGGTAGTGCTAGAAGGCTTTCAGCATTAATAGCAGAGTGCTAAGACAACTGTCTTTTTTCAGACATATGTGCATGTCAAACATCTTCCGCAATGTCATAATGCTAGGGGAGGAATCCACCATATGCACATACTTCTGGAATTCTGGAATGACCACCACGAACCTTTTCAGGGACAGTCTTCAAGGAAAAGGGAGGAGAGGAGAAGGCTGCATAGCTCTGTTCTCAACAGGTGATTGTGCCTGTCTTCAGATACACAAATCTTTTCCCCTTACTCACCTGAAACATCCTGATTTTCAAAGTCTGTGCATCACTGTAACTAGGGATCAGAACAGAGCAACTCCTGCCTGGGCAAATTTGCTTTATGTAATACACAGGGATTAACTACAAAATTGAAAAGCAGAAAGAGACACTATTATGCTACTACTTCTAAAATAGTTACCACGTAATGAATTTACAAACAGCATGTACCTAGGCACTTATATTCGTATGTTCACATTTGAAAAAAATGTCAGAAAGATGCTCAGTACATTGTTCCTACAGTTCAAGCATAGCTCTGAAGATAAAGGTCTATATACAGCACTGTACCACAATATCCACATGCTTTTAAATATGGATCTTTGAAACACACAAGCAGGTTTTTTTTTGTAGAAAACTAAACTTCTCCTAACTCTGTTTCTTTAAAGGGACATCACTGGACACAAGAATATCTACTTGTAAGGGTGGAACAGTTCACATCACCCTTCTTGAGAGCAAAAAATTAGGCACGTGCCAACACTGTCTCTACTGTTCAAACTTCATTAGATCTTACATT